GCCACCCATCGTGCATCGGCCAAAAAGGATGATGACGATCTATGCTTATATTGATGACCTGTCTCTTTCGAATTTTCTCTTTCTTGAGTTGTCAATAACAATAGGTACGACAGTCCAACACGATGGTGTACTTCAAACACGCCATCTCGGATAAGTTAATTATCCATCCTCATCTATACCAGACCATATGGGCCATTCTACTGGACTCAATGGATCCTAGCGAAAACCCCGAAAGGGTGTCGACATCACTGGATCTTTAAAAATATACAAGTGATGGAGTACTGAATGGTGCCGTACCAGCAACGAGCCGAGCTCTGTATTGTGCTCGGGCTATACTACCACTAATACGACGGCAGATAAGAAAAATTCTCAGACATTTCGCTAGAATTATCATCGAGCGGGTACCTAAAGTTGTGGCCTTGAAGTTGGTGACACGGAAAGATATTTTGCGGTTCAAAAGCATCGTTCTGGAATTCCTATATTGGGTTTGCTCGCGTCACCCATCACCACGGAATCGAATCTTTTTTTGTTAATATACTCGAGTACCTGCAGCTGGTTCGAAAGCAGAGAGGTGGGAAAAATCAGACTGAACCGGTATATTAGCATGGTATGACCAAGGCTTAGTACTGCGTTTGGGGATTTCGAGCCGCGGGTGAGAAGTTTATGCAACCAACGAGACCGGTATTCACACTATAATACATCACCGTAGCCGATAGACTCAAGGAATCAGGTCTATCCACTAAGCTGCAACCGCTAGGTGAATGCCGAATGACGACCTCTTCCTTGCGGCATCGTAAGCTTTGAAGCACATGTATCATTCTTCCCCTCTTCCTCCCCTTAATTCCCCGGTCAAAGTTGCGACGCGGGTTATATTCAAGCGTCACCAGCGTCAGAGAACTCAGACATTTTTGGCAAGAATTCCTTGCTTATATTCTATGATTGTCACTTGCCCTCCTTGGTATTCGACGTGGTACTGTATATGCGTCGACCACCAATGTTTAGGGGAGTACGAGGGAGTCAGGCATACTGCAGGCCCTGTGGGTTGTCCGAAATATCAATCCGAAGTTTTGATCTGGAGGATTAGCTCAAATGGTAGGGTGCTCGCTTTGAACGTGAGGGGCATGGGGCTCGATGCCCGGATTCTCCACATTTTGCTCTACGTGGCTAGGTAATTAAGGAATTAATTTCGGAACCGTGCACAGATTCGCTTCCTAGGATCAAGAACTCGGGTCCGCGGACTTCATGCAGGCTCAAATCCTAGTGGCGACATCTTTTTCATCTGGTCAGTCGATTACTATTCCGCATT